TGTCTGATTTGACTTGGTCATAGTGACTTTAATAGCAGGTGACATCACCTGAACTCTCGCTCTGTGCCGGGTCCTGTGCCAAGCTTGTTCTCTTGTAGAATTCTCACAATAACCTTCTTAGATCGGTGTTAGTATTCTCCCCGTTGTCTAGATGAGGAAACTGAGATCACTTTCTCAAGGTCACAATCAGGACTTAAGTCCCCATCCCTATGACCCCAAAGTCTATGACTTTAACCACTGAATTACACTGCCTTAGTATGGATGCTTCTTTGAATCTTCAATATTGAGCATTTGCATGGAATGAAATGCCACCCCCTCCTTGCTTTCCTTTCTTCTCTGACCATGGGCAGGAAAGAGTCTGCCGATGTTTGCTGCTATAACTGGAAGCTCCTTTCTGGTCCTTACCGTGGGCCCCTGGGGAGAGAAACAGGGCTGGCGTCCCAGGCACTAAGGAGACTTTGCAGGTATGCTTGGACTCCTTCAAGCCAGCGAGCAGCAGGCCTCCTGCACGGTGGGGCTTTTAGGCTGTTTGTGTGGGATGCTCCAGGCCTTAAATCAACAAACTTTTCTGAACTCTCTATCCAAGAGTCCGAAAATCTGCAAGGAGGCTGTGCTCCGGCCACAAGAGAGCGCCCCACTCCCGGGCAGGCAGGATGAGGGTTTGTGGGAGGTCGGTGGCGGGGTTGAGAGATTCCTTTTGGATGCACCTTTGAACCAAGCACTCTTAAACTCATTCCTTGGGAAGGGGAGAAATGTTTTCAAGCCCACCGAAAAGTTTCATTTCATTCAACTAGTGTGAAGGTAAGGGATGAAGGATCCAACAGGGAAAACCACATGGTTCCAGCCTTCAAGGACCCTACAGTCGTGTGGAAGACAAATAATTAGAAGGGAATGTGATGCGTGCCAAGGTCTTTATCCAGAACAGTCATTTAGTAAGCATTTAATGAGCACCTACTATGTGCCAGGTTCTGTGCTGGTTGCCAAGGATAGGAAAATGAACAGCACAGTCACTGCCCTCAAAAACAGTCTACTTGGAAGACAGCAAATTTGGAAAAATAAGAAAATGTAGCCATCAATCTGTCTGTCTATTGATCGATGGATTGATCTAGTGATCAATCAAGAGAGAGAAGTGAGAAGGAGCACGCAACCCAGTCCAGGAGGGAAGAGGGTGTATTAGGGAAGGCTTCCTGGAGGAAGAACACCCAACCCATGCTGGAATGAATTAGGATATTAGGGAAGACTTCCTGGAGGAGAGGACATCAGAGCCAAGTCATAAAAGACAAGTAGGGATTTACCAGGCAAAACAACAGAGGGAATTCCAGGTGGAGGAGGCTACATATATAAAGAGTGAGAAGGCCCCAGGGCCAGACCGAGGTGTGCATGTGGGCAGATATTGGGCACCACGTTAAGTAAATTGGGTCTTTTCCAGCATATGATGGAAAAGCAGGAACTAAGAGAGTGAGGTGAGGGAATAAGACCCCTACTCTGTGGGTAGGAGAGGACACTTTACACAATGGTAACATGTGAACTGGACCATGGAGTATGTGTAGGGTTCACCAGGTGGAGGAGGGAGAAAACAGTAGAAACACTCTGTAAGGGGCAGCCTTGCCATTCCGCGGGGGCTACTCAACAGGGACTCTTCAGGGTCGCTGCCCCGTCTCCTTCCTTTTTACAGCTTTTTCCCCTTTAGTTACACCAGAGCAAAAGATCTCAGTGCTGGAGAGAGGGGGGCAAAGGGAAATATCCACATGGGGTTTCTGGGTGGTTCTAGTGAAAGGTTCCAAGAAAAGAGGTGGATGAAGCAAAAGTTGAAGATTTGGGACTCAGTTTCTTGGCCACTCCAGTGCCCCTGACCTGAGCATGTCCCAAATCAAACTTCTCAGGGCAGCTGGGCTCGGGACGGATGATGATGTGGGGTTGGGACCGACATGCAGGGTCTGGTGTGGGTACGGTTGAGAGATGCACCCTGGTGCCACACTGCCTGGTTTCAGGGCTGGCATCACCTTCCCCATATCTCTTCTCTCCTCATTGCTTTGGTGTCCTCATCAGTGGAGAGAGGGTAATAACACCGTCTCCCACCTAAGGTTACTATGGCAAGTGAGGTCATACGTGAAAAACACTTGATACACGGTTGGCACTCACATTAAGGCAGCAGTAACAGTAGTTGCTGTTGCTATTATTGTGATGATTAAGCCTCCTGTTTGATAAAGCTGAAAAATCGTTAATGTCTATGTTTTATGCTTGTAATTTCAGAGACGTAGTCTCTCAGTTTCACATCAAAGCTTAATCAGCACCTGGCTGGAGTCCTTGTTTTTACTGTCTCCTTTCCATCTTTTTCCCAGTGTGAGAGGTCCTGCTGGAAATGGAATAATTTCACCTCCTAAGAAACTGTTGGCAAGTGAAAAAGAAACAATTCAAAAAGAATCTTAAATACCCTGGGATTTATTGATTGATTTATTTCAGCATCAGACTGTGAATAATTGCTAAGGCCCTCACTTTTGTTATCAGGTTTAAAATTTTATTATCATCATCATTATTATTTTAGAGACAGGGTCTCACTATGTCACCCAGGCTGGAGTGTAGTGGTACAATCGTAGCTCACTACAGCCTCAAACACCTGGTCTCTAGTGATCCTCCCACCTCAGCCTCCTGAGTAGCTTGGACTACAGGCATATACCTCCACGCCTGGCTAATTTTTAAGTTTTTTGTACAGCCTGGGTCTTGCTGTGTTGCCTAGACTGGTCTCAAACTCCTGGCCTCAAGCTATTCTCGCACCTTGGCCTCCCAAAGTGCTGGGATTACAGAGGTGAGACACTGTACTCAGCCCTCTTTTAATTTTTTTTTTTTTTTCTTTTTGAGATGGAGTTTCGCTCTTGTTACCCAGGCTGGAGTGCAATGGCACGATGTCGGCTCACCGCAACCTCTGCCTCCTGGATTCAGGCAATTCTCCTGCCTCAGCCTCCTGAGTAGCTGGGATTACAGGCACGCGTCACCATGCTCAGCTAATTTTCTGTATTTTTAGTAGAGACGGGGTTTCACCAAGTTGATCAGGATGGTCTCAATCTCTTGACCTCGTGATCCATTCACCTTGGCCTCCAAAGTGCTGGGTTAATTTTTAAAAAAATTTTTAGCAATGTCTTTTATTTAACCCAAACATTTGATGCATATGAAAAATACTGTTAGTAAGGTGTTGTCCCTTTTCTTCATTCTAAGCCTATTTCAGTCAAGCCTTGCCATAATTCAAGTGCTCACGTGGACAAGTAGCTCTGTTATTGGACAGGGTACCTCTATACTAAGAAATGCCCAGGCCGTGACCTCCATTCTTGAAGGCACAGTTAGTCTCAGCCTTCCCTATACGCTGTATACACTTTTTGATAGTTTCAAGTTGTGTCATAAGCTCTGATGGATACTAGCACTCATAACACTTTTCTATTAATTAATTGTTTAAATATCATACCATTACCCATTTCGGTGAGTTACCTATACATTTCCTTTACCTTTACGATTCTGTGTAAGGGAACGCCATGAATGCCCCATGTTGTAGGCAGAAGGCAGATGCTTACCCGCTGGTGGGGTGAGGCCAGTGCTTGTGTGTAGGATTGAGATCAGACATCACCCCCTCTCTTCTCTTGAATGCATCCATAACTGGCCATGGATCAAAGGCTGTGAGCTGAGGGGTCCCTGGGAGAACTCCTCTTTACCTTCCTTCCTTTTACCATTTAGACATCCCTCAACAAATATTTAAGTTGCTGCTCTACGTGACTCACTTTGCTGGGCATAGAGTCTACAAAGGATATCATTCAATCTCCTGGGTCTTGAAGAGTCCCCAAGAATGAAACTCAACTTTCCAGAACCTTCCACTTGGTTTTAGCTGCAGATTCTTTCTTCTGAAGGAACTATCAGACAGATCTTCATTATATAATAATAGTAACAATTCATGTTTATACTTCGTTTTAATTCACTTACCTGCATGGTTTAATCCTCTCCACAATTCTCCAAAGGAAGACTCTTTTGTAGGCAAGACAACTGAGGCTTGAGAGGTTTAATGGGCTCACCCAGGGGTGGCAAGACCAGTATTTGAATCTGAGGGGTCTGGCCCCAGGATAGCGTAATTCCTACAAGCTGCACCTGCTCTCCTCCAGCAACACTGCTATGGTGGGCACAGCGATGAAGGCCAGGGGTAACCAGGGTCCCTTCTCTATAACACGCTTCTGACCCCTTGCAGCTGCCTGTGAGGCACGGCATAGGATTCAGCCTGTGATTTAGGAGAGCACCCTCCCTCCCGAACTCCTAAGGTGGGCACCATCTGAGGCTCCTGGTAGGCAATGGACCAAGAGCCAGACAGAGCTGTGGGCATGCTGGGAAGAAGGAGCCCAGCACCAGGAGTCCTGACCAAGAGGAAGCATTTCCAGAAGAGGCACTGGGATCCCACTGAAGGCTTAATCTACTTAGATCTCTTGAAAGTCATCAGGCTTAACATCTACAGAAGTGCACTAATTATTGTTACCGGGAGGAAAGGCAGTGGATTTGGGGATTAAACACATAGACGGTGAATGCCACCTTGACAGATCTAGACTCACTTGAGGACAGCCTGAGATTTGCTGTTTCTGTCAAATGGGCAATGGGCAGCTTGGTCACGGGTTGGGGGCTTAGAGCTCTGGGGAGTTGAGATGTTTAGGCAAAAGTTGTGGGATTGGAGTTGGAAGCTGAACTTGAACCCTGGCTCTCTAGAGCTTCTCTAGGAAGCTGGGCAAAAAAGAATGGCTGAAATGTTTGCTTGTGCCCCAGTGTAGAATGAGCTTCTTAGAGGGACCTAGAGGCGAGAGTGCAAACCCTTTTTGCCCAGCCCTTGTGTCTCTGCCTGAAAGCCTGTGGGCTCTTCTGATTTCTCCCTGTGGGTTTTGGACCCCTCATGGGAAACACAAGGCTGAGCTTCACGGCTGTGACTTTGTGCACCTATGGATATACTTCCTTTTCCTCTTTTTCTGTCTCCCTTTCAGAGCCAAGAAGAAGAGCAAACCCTTGAACCTCAAGATCCACAGCAGCGTAGGCAGCTGCGAGAACATCCCCTCCCAGCAGCGCTCCCCGCTGCTGTGCGAGCGCTCCCTCCGCTCCTTCTTTGTGGGACACGCACCTTTCCTGCCTTCCACCCCTCCTGTTCACACTGAGGCCAACTTCTCTGCAAGTAAGTCACCCACTGGGCTCCACTGGGGACACTGGCTGTGCCGCCTCCTTCTCCCCGGCACCTGCTATCCTCTGCTCCAGGTGCAAACTCTCTTTTCTTTATCTCAGGGGCTTGTGAAATGCTCACTGATAGAGCTTCATCCATCCTCTGCCTGTGGCCCCCCCATCTGCCTATGCCACTCACGCCCATTTGGATGGTTTTGGAGGGGGAGCATAATTGACTCTGGGGAGGTTGACTGGCGGTTGTCGTTGGTCTCAGGTGTGAAGGAAAGATAGAGGAAAGCAAGCAGGCATTCAGGGAAGCACCCGCCCTCTCTCTCCCTCCTCCCTGCCGTCTCTCAGCTGCCTGATTACAGGATTTTTCTTGGCCGCTATGGCTAAGGCATCTATGATTAAGTTTTGCCTTTTTTTCCCCACTCAGGTCAACACATATAACCTTTACATCTCAAAGATGTATTTGGGTTCAAATGGGGCTGAGCATGGCCTGGAGTGGTTTACTTTCTGTTCTTACGAATTTCTGCCGGAGACAGAGTGGTTATTACTTGGAGCGGAAATGGAACTTTCTGAAGATGGAGAACTGAGGTTTCAGAAGGTGTTTAATCTTCTCTACCCAGAGGCCCGATTTGCTGAACAGGCACAGATGTGGCCGGAGGGGCACCCCCCTGAATAAAGCCCAGCCAGTCCTCCAGCTAAGACAGCAACTTTTATTGATTGGTTGCTCAAGAGAAGGAAGGGCTCTGAGAATGTGGGAGAAGTAACCCCTGGCCCTTAATTCAGCCACAGGCTGTGCACGTTGTGTTGTTGCTCTAAGAAATGATGAGACGTGTTCACTGAGCATTGATGCGTGCTCATCACTCACAGGGAGGGTCTCATCTAGTTGTTGCAGCAATCCCTCGTGCAGATGGATTTTCCCACTGTACAGAAGGGGAAACTGAGGCCCAGAGACATCCAAGAACTTGCTCAAAGTCACACAGCTGTTAAGAATTTGAGCTGGGATTTGAATTCGGTTCTTTCTAACACATCACACATCATTTGGTAACTATGACCCCTTAAATACCCAGCAGAATGCTTTCTGTAAATGTGGGGTTCTGTTCATTACTTTTATCTAAGGGTTCTTAGACTTTGCGAATTTGACAAGATCTGTTAATTCTATGCCTGGAAAAAAAAGGCGCATGTAATATCCAACATCCACCTAGATGGTTAGGCTGGGGCCGAATGGTAGCTTGGTTTATAGCCTGCAGGTGTGTATGGTGCATCCATGGTAGGAATCCGCTGAAGGTATGGGCTGATGATCCATGTGGATTTCAGTCAGGAGATGGTCCAGAGAGTGCCTTGTCTCAGTGTATATGGTGCATCTGTGGTAGGAATCCGCTGAAGGTATGGGCTGATGATCCATGTGGATTTCAGTCAGGAGATGGTCCAGAGAGTGCCTTGTCTCAGTGTATATGGTGCATCCGTGGTAGGAATCCGCTGAAGGTATGGGCTGATGATCCATGTGGATTTCAGTCAGGAGATGGTCCAGAGAGTGCCTTGTCTCAGTGTATATGGTGCATCCGTGGTAGGAATCCGCTGAAGGTATGGGCTGATGATCCATGTGGATTTCAGTCAGGAGATGGTCCAGAGAGTGCCTTGTCTCACTGCCCAGGTTAGGCAGACTCCAAATCTAGCAAACTAAAATAGCACCCACTACTCACAGGTCCACACCAGAAGGCCAGTTTATTCAATTTGTCCAGAGAAATCACTGCCAGAAAGAGCAGCCTTCGTGAAGGTGGGCCTGCATGGTGGTCCAAAAGAGTGGCCACATGAGCATGAATGAGGAAAAAGAGAGATAGTGACATGTCCAGTGTGTAGCGATAGCCGGATGAGGCAGATGTCACAGCCAGGAACAGATACCTGGGTTTGAACCCCAGTTATTCTACTTTTAAGCAATTGTGCATGACCTAAAGTGAGTTCAAAGCCTCTGAACCTGTTTCCTCAGCTGTAAAATGGGGATAATAAGAGCTTCACCTTGTACATGGTAGTGAGGATTAGGTAAGTTCATACATGCCAAGCCTTCTGCACAGTTCCCAGCGCACAGCAGGTGCCTAATAAATGGTGGCTTTTATGATGATGATTTGTTCCTGAAGCATTTACAGCCTGTGGTCTGATGGTTAATCTGGGGCTTCTATGGCTAAATGCCTTGCAGTTTACCCCCCTGCCAACTTCCCCATGGCCCTAAGAATGCTTGGCATTTACCTTGGCATGACTCTGGGTGGCTGCCTCTAGCAGCCATCTGTCCTTGGTCATCGCCATCCTATGAGTGAATGTCAGCATGGCCCCCTCCAGGGGTTTGACCACTGCTCTGCACTGTAGTTTTGTCCAAAGTAAAAACATCTCCCTCCTGCTTGAAAAAACAACAACAACAACAACAACAAAACCCAACAACAACAAAAAAACAGACCCAAACATTTGAGCCCCTGTCTGTACCAATGAGTTTCTGAGGATTCACTGGGGCTTCTAACTTTTTGTTCCTGCCCTGGTCTCCACCAAAGGGGAAAAGCTTTTCTGCTGCTTGCCTGTGGACGGGAGCAAAGGCCTTAATTAAAAGGCCGCTCCCAGCACTAAGAGGCACCCGGAGCACAACTACCCCTTGGGGTCTTGGTGCTTGCATGCAAAGAAGTTGCTCTCTGATCTCCCAAAGAAGAAAGCTAGCATTTGAGTCTCAGTGGAAGAATGAGTGTGTAACCCAAATGTTAGCTGAAACCCTAGCGACCACTTCCCTGTCTGTTGATTCTGATAAGTGACAGAAACAGAGGAAGCCTGGTGTGGTGGGCAGGTGGCAGTTTGGAAACTGAGATGCTCTCTGTTGGAATCTCAGCGCTGCCACCAGTTACCTGTGTGACCTCTGTCTCTGCCTGGTGTGTCAACTGCACTGTTTCAGGTAAGACTCACCCCAGTCTGTGAGGCAGGTGCTAGAATTCCCTTGTTACAGATCAAGAAACTGAGGCTCAGAATGGTGCATGATCTTGTCCATGGGGACCCTTGTGAATCCAGATCCAATCTAGCCTGCATCCTGCATTTCATCACTTCAATGCAGCAAGTTCCTTTCTCTATCTGGGTCTCAGTTTCCCCAGGGGGATGTACTCCTGAGGGTCATTTCAGTGACTCTGAGGTCTACCCACTGAGCGTTTCTACGCAAACCTTTGACTCTTTCAGAATGCTGGTTTTGGGGACTCTGGGTGGGGCTTGGGGTTGGGAGAACACAGCTACTAGGTGCCAGCTCCTCCTTATTTGTAATAGTTCCCATTCCCCTGCCACCATGAATTTCAGGAGAGAACTCCCTGCCTTTGGGCCCTGGTGGCCACCTTCCTCTTGTTGATCCAGCCAGGGGAGCCCCTGGGGATACAGCCCTGCCAAGCTCAGTCTGTCTGCCTGTTTGTCACTGTCGGCTCTGGCTCTGGTCTGTTCTTTGAAGGGTGGTGACACGCCATCTTGTTGCCTTATGATGGTAACACTTGGGGATAGCGTTAGGCAGATCTGGTTGTAGCTTGGCCGAACCCCACAACCTCAGGGTGCCCAGCCACCTTGAGTGAGCTGTGAGAAGGATGCCACCTTCTTGGGACTTACCCTACTCCCCTGGTCTGGGAATGGTGAGTGGGGACAGGGAGGGAGGGGAGCGGCAGAAGGTTTTGCTGACGGAGGAATCTGTCTCCGAGGTTCACCAGCCCTTGGGGTTCATAGCCTCATCAAGCAGGGCTACAGTAAAGACATCAGATGCTTCTGTTCACCATGGGAGATCCTGACTCAAATGAACCTGCTTCCCGGAGAAGTAGAGAGCAGTGGACTTACCTCTCCATCCTTGCTGTACTTATTCTGCATTGCATTTGGGTGGGCCGCCATGCTCTGGGGGTTTGGTTAGGCGCTCTTCACCAGGGACCATCTTTATTCTACCAATCTGCAAGCCTGTGGTCTCCTTGTAGTCTATCTCTGATCTCAGCGGGTGGAGGTCAGGCTGTCTTAAATCTCTTAAGGGAAGGCTACTTCAGAATGAAAGAGTGCCACCTAAATGGAAGGAATGGTTGCCATCATTCATTACCAGCTGGTGAAGTGACTTCGGGTTTAAAGCAACTAACTAGATGCTGTTGAGTCACTGGGAAAATCACTTCACTTCTTCAGTCTGTTTTCTACCCAGCAATGATGCAGTGAGGATAAAACGTGAAGTTCATGTACGTTCCCTAGCAGGGGAACTGGTACTTAGAGCACCGAGTCTCGGCAAACTGGTACTTAGAGCACCGAGTCTCGGCAAACTGGTACTTAGAGCACCGAGTCTCGGCAAACTGGTACTTAGAGCACCGAGTCTCGGCAAACTGGTACTTAGAGCACCGAGTCTCGGTAAACTGGTACTTAGAGCACCGAGTCTCGGTAAACTGGTACTTAGAGCACCGAGTCTCGGTAAAGGGTGACTTTGGGAGCTACTGCTGTATGTTACATGATGAAGTGGTTTGTAGCAATGGTGAAAACGATGGTCATAATAGCAATTGGCATGTATTGTGATGACAATGTCCCAGGCATGGGACAAAGCAATTTGCTTTTATTATGTCATTTAAGCTCCATCATCCTCTATAAGGTAGGTACTACTATTATCCCCATTTTACAGATGGAGAAACTGGGGCTGAGAGAGTTTAAGCAGTTGGCCCAAGGTCACAAGACCAGGAGAGAGGTAAAGTTTGCAGTCCTTTTGAATCCTCCACTCTGCAATGCTAGGGTATGAAATTGCAATGTCATCGTCATTAAAACTTCCTTGTTCATCATGTAAGGAACTGAACATGCTCAGGTTTTCTCTCCGAAGCCCTTGCATTGCTGGGGGAGCATGTTGTGTGTGACAGCCTTTCTCAAAGGATGCCTTTTTGTTAGTGTGCTGGGCTCACGTAGAAAGCAGCACCCATGCTGGGCACAGTGGCTCACCCCTGTAATCCCAGAACTTTCGGAGGCCCAGGCGGACAGATCATGTGAGGTCAGGAG